GCTTCAGGGACATGGTTTGGTTGGGACACCTGGAGTGGTGGGCTGGACTCTGGAGAGACCATTGCTAACCCTGGGTGTCATTTGCTGGCTGGCAGTGTTCAGTTCTTGTCAATGATGGCTTGTATTTCTGATTGTACACTTGACGGTATATGTGAAGAACAGATAGGGAGCAGAGCCCAGGATGTTGACCCCTCATTGTCTGTAGCTGGGGAAGGTGCCAGGCAGGGGGAAGTAGGGACTCTATATTGGGGGGGAGCATGGGGACTGGTAGGAGGAACTGGGACCTGGCATGGGTGCCTGGTGACCCTTGGGAAGAACTTGGGACATGCAGGGGGGCTTGGAGGCCTGAAAAAGAACTGGGCCACTCCAAGTCTGTCGCTGTGACTCAGGCCAAGGCCTGCATGCATCAGGAGCCAGTCCCTATTGAACAGAGTAACGTTCTAAGTTCTCTGAGATGCTTTTTAGATTTTCAGGGGTGGGGGTCTTCCATTTCTAGTGGGGTGAAGGCCTTTATGGCCCCTACACTTCAGCTTAATGTGGGACTGTGCACTGGACAGAGCAGATGGACACTGACCTGTGAGCGGGCTTCTCGAGGCAGCCTCTATGGAGGAATGAGAAGGTCATCCTGAGCTGAGGGTCCTGTGATGGCCACTTCTCCAGAATCTTGACCTCCTTGGCCCAGGCTGTGTTGGACACTTGAGCTCTGGAGTATGACTGTCCAGAGCAGATCCCAGAGCCCAGGCAACTGTTTGCCTCTCCCTGGTGGTCCTTGTTTCCTTGCTTTGTAGCTGCTCTTCAGAGTTGCAGTGAGTTGCACAGAACCCAGTTAGATTCAATTACACACAGATAGTTTATGTAAGTGTATCCCATGAAGTATTTGTGCCATAATTACACTAAAAATGGTTTGATGCCCTGCTGGTGTTCACATTCAGCTGGGCATCTTGCATATGACCGGCTCAATCCAGCAGCCTGATTCCTGGCTGTTACCCAGGACATTGAGGTAGTGCACCCAGCATGCTGGGAATCCGCAGGTGTGTCCAAGGTCAGTACCATATGTGGCTTTGCCTTTGTGTGCAGTGGCCTGGAAGTCAGTGTGAGTGAGTGGTGGCAGCTTGGGGCAGGCATGTCCCTGTGGAATTCCAGAGCCACAGTCCACACCCTCCACAGGTGAGCATTGCCTGTCGTGAGCACTGGGGCTGTGAACCAGTACTGTCACCAGTGGGGATAGGGTGATGGGGTCTCCAGAGGCACATCAGCCTCTGAGCCCAGAGCACTGCTCACTGCTGTTCTCCAGCTGGAGCCTGGCCCTTTGGGTACTGTGGGGACATTGTCCTTAAATTCCCCTGAGTCCTGGTGTGTGGCAGGGATGGAAGCTGCTGGGGATGAGGAAGGATGAGTGAGAACTGAAGTTCCACTGTCTTCATATAAAAGAAGCAAGTGGACCCCACTTCCTCCCTTGAAGACAGGCTGTTGTTCCCAGTGGCTGGTGTGTCCCCTGCTGCTGGTGCAGCTTGTCTGTGGCCCTGGGAGAGCCTGGAGCTGCAGTGTTCCAGTAACTCTTGTTCACGACACCTTGTTCATCTGTTCACACCCATCCAGAAAGCACCAACTAAGTGCCTCCTGGTGCCGTGCCTGGGTGGGTGATACAGCTGTGCAGCTGGTAAGGTAGGGTGTGGCTGGCATGAGGCATGGGGTCAGGGTGTGAACAAGGTGGATTCATCTAGAATAAAGCTCCAGGCCTAGAGGTTCACCATCCCTGGCTCAGGCTGCGATTTTGAACAGAAGGTGCTATTGGGTTGGGAGGACAGTGGTCACCAGCCCTCTTGACTTGTACCACCAACGCACATCCCACAAGCTCTCCAGGGCCTCCCAGACAGTTTTCTACTCAGGCAGCCTAGTGAGTTTGGCTCTGTGGCAGCATTTCCTTGGTCTTCATGTGTCTGAGGTGACAGGACCTGGCTGTCCCCAGTATGCAGCAGACAGGGCATACCCAGATGTCCTTCCACACTCCCCTCAATGTCAGACTCACTGATGGGGACCCTGACCTCGGCAAATTGCTTCATCTCTCCAGAGAAATGAAGAGAGCCAAGGTGGCTGTCTGTATTTGCTTGGCACCTACTGTGTGTAGGCCCCTCTCTGCCCACTTCACAGAGCAGTCATTTGGAAACAAACTTGGGGCCCATCAAATGGAGAGGAGGTGCCCAGAGGGAAGAGCTACTGTTGGGCCCTCAGCCGCAAGCCCAGGGCCATAGAACTTGTTTCAGATCTGGGCAAGACTATGGGACCCACCAGTGTGCACAAGAGGAGGCCAGGCTCCCTTGGAGCCTTACTGGCCTTGGCATCCCTGTGGGGTTGGCAGCTGGCTGTAGGTCAGGTGTGAGAACCCTGGGGAGGAAGTTCTTTAAGGTGGGACTGCCTGAGGAATCGATGTAGGAAACTTGACCCTAATCCTAATCCTAATCCTCATTTTTGCTGCCCTCACCAGGTTTTAATCCTGATCCTACCTAGGAATTTTAAGAACTGACCCAAATCCTGACTGAGTGGAAGGATGGGAGAAGGGTATTCTCCAGCCTCACCCCTCCAAACTCATCCTTCTAACCTCACCCTTTTCAGCTTCACCATTCCATGCAGCTTTACCACCTCCAGCCCCACCCCTCTGTAGCTTCATCCACTGTAGACTCACTCCTTTCTGAAGCCACACTGCCCTCCACAGTCTCATCCAATCCTTTAGCTTCACGACCCCAGCCTCACTACTAGCTCACTCCCCTCCAACCTTATCTCCCTTCAGCCTCAGCTCCTCTATCCTCACCTCCCTTCAGCCTCACTTCCATTCAGCTTCACCCCTCCATGCCTCACCTCTCTAGCCTCACTCCTTCCTCCATCCACATGCCTCCAGTCTCACCCCTCCCTGCAGCCTCACTGCTCCCTTCAGTCTCAGCCTTCCTCTAGCCTCTTCCCCTTCATCCTCACTCCTTCCACCCTTACTGCTCCTTCCAGTCTCACTCCTTCTACCCTCACTACTCTTGAAGCCTCACTCCTCCTCTAGCCTCATCCTCCATCCTTGTCGCCTCAGCCCTTCCTGCAGCCTCACTCCTCTATCCTCATCCTCCATCCTTATAGCCTCAACCCTCCCTGCAGCCTCACTCCTCTTCTGGCCTCACCCCCCATCCTCCCCCCTCCTGCTTCCTTTGCACAGTTTCCTCCCCCTGTCCGTGTCCTCCTTTTTGCTCTGTGACTCCCCCCCTCCAGATACTATACCTTGCCTGGCTCCCCCACCCAGCACAGTCTTCGTTCCATAAGGAACCTGTATTTCCTTTGCTTCAATATCATGCTGTACCTGTACAATGCTGCATATTCCCTCTAGATGTCCCTGAAGTTGGTTGGTACCACAGGTGGGCAGAGAGGCCAGGGTGGGTAGTAGTAATGCCATCCATTTATACCAGGAGCTGGGGAGCACATCCCATGTATTATAGAGTAATCCTCGAAATCCTAATTCCATGCATTTGTGAATGAATGAATGAGAGAGCAAATGAATGATGGAGCTTGGATAGAGGCATCCTGTTCTGTGAGTGCCAGTGGGGAATCTCAGTGGGTAGAGCCCACTTCCAGGGTGGTGGACCCTGAAGCCTTTGCCTGTCACAACCTAGATCTTGACAGAGTCAGATGTGGATGCTGGATATGTAGTGGGTGGGTGGAAGGTTCCTGATGCTCCTCCCATGTGGTCTGCCTGGGACACCAGAGTTTCCATATGGGCCTTGTTTTTTATGGTGGGGGGCTGTATGTTGCAGGGGGATGATGGCTTTGCCTGCCTGCACAAGGACACCTCTTCCTGGGGGCAGGGACCTTCTCTCACCCCTACAGGGCAGCTGTGTACTGTCCCCCATCAAGCACCAGAGGGTGAGTTCCTGGGCTCTCCCAGGACCCCTCAGGAGGACCCCACCCAAGTGACTGGTGTCCATGCAGGAAGCGGTGGGGGACTTGGAGTTCCCATTCTTGACCTTGGGCCAGGGGCTGCCCCTCTCTGGACCTCCACTGACCTCAAGTGTCAAAGCCTGAGACTCATCCTGTCTTGGGATTGTTCAGGAGAAAGACTGATTGTGTTGGTGCATATGGCCTAGGTGGTCAAGGCTGGCAGACTCTGGAGCCTAGCAACCTGGGCTTGAAACTCAGCCCTGAAACTTCCACTGCAACCTCAAGGGAGGGGACTCACAGGTCATGGCTTGGTATCCAAGGCTTCCAAGATGGTTGCAGCCCCAAAGACCCAATGTAGGGGATGGAATACTGAGCTTTGGCAAAGTGTCCCTGGGGCCTCTGTTTCCTAGGTACCCTTGACCCCCAGGTGCCCATGCCCAGCCCTCCCAGGATCTCTTATGGACTCTTCTACAGAATGGGGACAGCAGTGTGCTAAGGGGCACACGCCTGAGTCCTTACCTCGCCTAGACACTAGATGTTTCGATATGCCATGGAGCACGGGGATGCCAGGATCACAAGCTTTAGGAGGGAAACCACACCTCTGCGACTGAGCCACACCCCCCCCCAAAGTACTTCCTGGTTTCGGATATATAGGTGTATCCAGCTCTGAGTGCCCGCTGGGCTTCTTCTTCGTCTAGGAAAGCTGGGTTCGGTGCTGCCCAGCCAGCTTTGGTTCAGCCCGGGACTCCCTAACTCCGCGCGTTCTCACCCTGCAGGGACTCTGCCGCTCCAACCCTGGGGACACCAAGGGTGACCTCGATTCCGCATTCCCTGAGCGTCTAGTGTCTCCTCCCAGCTCTGACCTGTCCCCTCCACTTAGCAGGTCTCCCGCACAACCCGCCCCGCCCTTCCTGTGCGCCAAGGGGCGGGGCAGAGCTCGCCCCTCCCCCAGCCGCCCGCCCCGCCTCTCCCAGTCCCTTCTCTGGGTTCCTGGCAGGCTCCGCAGCCATGTGACCCCGCGGGCTCTGGGACGCGACAGGACAGTTGGGACGGGCGCCGGGGGACGCGGGCTGGGCCCGGGCGGGGCGACATGGAGCAGAGGTGGGTCTTCGTGCTGCTGGACGTGCTGTGCGTGTTGGTCGGTAAGAGCCGTGGGAACCCGGGTTCGGGGGACTCTCTCTACCAGGCAGACACGCCCCCTGCCCCATGACAGCCCGTGTGTGAGTGGGGGCTGCTGCGTCCTCTGAAGACTCCTGCAGGTGGCGACCCGGGACCGCCACTCCCCAGATCCTCCTCTGTGCTCCCCTCACATCGTGGCCATCACCCCTCATCCCAGCCTGTCTGTCATGAGGGGGTCCCTGGCGCCCGGGGAGAGCCCGCCCCACTCGGCACAGGAAGTCCCCCGAGGGCTGCGGGGCGACGGTGACTCACGCGGGCGGAGCGGGTGCGGCACTCAGGACCTCAGTGCCTGGCCTTGTCCCCAGGAGGGTTGACCCCGACCGACGCGCCGCGGGCAAGGTCCGGCGCCCTCGCCCTCCACCTAGGAGGCAGAAAGAAAAGTCGCCAGGCAGAGGTGATGGGCCTGGACATTTGGAGCCAAACCCGCCCAGCCGATTTGAGGCCAGCAGGCGGTAAGGGGGAGGGAAGGCGGCGCATCCGAGGCCCCCCCACCACCTTTCTGCCTCTCCCTGGCTGGGAACAAAGGCCAAGTGTTTGGGCTGAGCCCACTGGACAATGGCCCCAGAATTCTACCCCAGAGGCAGTGGTGTGGTTATGTGGGGGATTCACCTTTCCTCTGCCAACCTTGGGTTCTTTATTTAAATATTTATGTTGCACTAATTGTAAGCCAGGCACCAAAGCATATACAAGTAATTACTTCCAAGCAGCCTGGGCCCAGAGAAGTTGAGCCACCTGGTGGAGGTCACAAAGCACCAGCAAGACAGGGCAAGTTGATTGCATGTTGCTGCTGCATGCCAAGTGGTGGTGGCCCAGGCCAGAGTGTTTCCAGCCTAGAAGCCTGAGTTACAGAACAGTTCAGTCAGTACAAGTATTAGGTGCCAGGGAGAGGTGTGAGGCCTGGGACATTCTGGATGAAGGAGGCGCCTGGCTGTCCCCTGGGAATGCTTTCCAGATAGAGAGAAGGGCTTGGACTCCAGTGTTCTGACAGCCCAGCTCCATTTCCACTGAGGAGGAGTCTCCACTGTAAAGTGCATGTTGTTTATAGGGGGGAAAGGGGAGGACACACACCACAGCATGACCGGGCTGACTTAACTCCCCAGCCCGCCTTGACCCTGACAACTGAGCAGCCCTGAGGCCCCACCCATTGTCCCAGTTCACTGGTGCACACCTGTCCTTCTGCTTGTGTTCTGCCCAGACAGACCATTCTCCCCTCCTTCATACACAGCTCTGAATACCCTCTTCCTCTACAGGCTTCTCCTGTGTCTGGCTAAATCTTTGTCCCCTCCCAGTACCTTCCCTCATGGAGATTCTCCTAGGCTCCACAGACATCCCCTTCCCTTGGTCTCCTGGTATTGGAGACCCAGTAAGGCAGGAGTCATCTCCGCTGCTTGCTGTGTTTGTCTCTGGAGCCTCCATTGTTTTGCTATGGAGCAGAGTGCTGCCCTCTGCCTGATCCTGGTAACTGGCTCCTGCCTCCTATCCACTTTGGCCTCAGAGGGCCCAGGCTTCCAGTGCTGGGACGCTTTCACAACTTGATTTCAATGTCACTGCCAAGTGTGTCTGTTCCTGAGCCCAGTGTGGGTCTGTTTTGGCTACTGCATGTCTGGCTCAGGTTCTGGTAAATAAAGAGCCACTTTCTCCACTGAAGACACCTCACTGCATGCTGCTGAGCTCTGAGATCCTTCAATCCTGCCTTGTATCGACATGTCACCCCTGCCTTGCCAGGCTCTGCTCCAGGGCTGGCCCTGATACAGCAGGCCCCTCAGGGCTTATATGTACATGGGGAATCTTGTCATACCTCACATAGGTGGCTGTCATTCCACAGGGGATAGGAGCTATGCAGAGTGGATTTTCCTCCCTGTGATAGTGATACCAGGGAAGCCATCAAGGAGCTGCAGTGAGGTGGGAGGGAGGCAACACAGGAGCAGTGCATGTGCAAAGGCCCTGGGGCTGGTGCTGGTTGCATCTGCTCCAGGAGCAGAAAGGAAGCCTGAGGGTGTGAATGAGGAAGACTGTGGAGGTGGGTGGCACTGTTCCATGGGCCCAGAAGGCATTGGGTTGATCTGGGATGTTGGGATGCAGTGGCCTCCTAAGAAGCCACCAGAGCAGCTCTGGCAGGGAGGTGGCAGAGCAGTGGGTGCTTTGGCAGAAGGTGGGAGCAGTGAGCATAGGTGTTCAGGTCCCGAAGTGCTGCTGGGAGAGCCACATGCCTACATGGCTTCCCACAGCCTCTCTGCCCTTCGCCATCCTGACTCTGGTGAACACCCCATACAAGCGAGGATTCTACTGTGGAGATGACTCCATCCGGTACCCCTACCGTCCAGACACTATCACCCACGGGCTCATGGCTGGGGTGACTATCACAGGCACTGTCCTCCTTGTAAGGCAGGAAGGGCTTTGAAGGTGGGGGGCAAGGATGTGCCTGGAGAGAATAATGGAGATGGATGGGGGCTGGGGGGAATGGTGTGTGTGGGAGCCCCAGCTTTCCCCATGGGAGGACAGGCCAGGCCCTGGCCCTGTCCATTTTGGGTCTGCAGCTACTCCCTTGGCAGGTGTCAGCAGGTGAAGCCTACCTGGTCTACACAGACCGCCTCTACTCCCGCTCTGACTTCAACAACTATGTGGCTGCTGTCTACAAGGTGCTGGGGACCTTCATCTTCGGGGCAGCTGTGAGCCAGTCATTGACGGACCTGGCTAAGTACATGATTGGCCATCTGCGTCCAAACTTCCTGGCTGTCTGTGACCCGGACTGGAGTCGGGTCAATTGCTCTGTCTATGTGCAGCTGGACAAAGTGTGTAGAGGGAGTACGGCCAATGTCACTGAGGCCAGGTGAGTGCCAGGCCCAAGCGACGCTCTCCAGTACAATAGGGAGAAAGCCCGGGTGACAGAGAAAGCTGGTGAGCAGAGCCAGCAGGAGGTGGCTAGGGGTCTGGGAGGTGGAGACAGAGGTCCCAGGGGTGGTGCATCTGAGAGGGGAGAGGCACAGCTGGGGCTTCTAGGCACAGGCTCTCCTCCCTGCCACTCTGGCTGTGGGTTTCTGGTAAGGAATCATCTGTTGGGGTTGTCAGCATTGAGCCTCTCTTTCTTGATGCCTTTGAGAACGTCATTGACTTTGACTGTTGGTTATATGTCTCTGGTTCTCCCAAGTATTTTCTACTTGCAATTCCAGACTTCTTGGGTGTATAATTTGATGTTTTCCATGAACTTGGGAAAGCTTTTAGCACCATTTCTTCACATATGCTCTTTGCCCCGTCCCTCTCTCCTGGAGCCTGGCTGTGCATGCTAGGTGTAGCCAGTGTGATTGTGGCAACTTTGTTCCTCCTGATGGCATTTGGGTGCCCTAAGTTCACCTTACCTGTTTATACCTATTGGCTGTCAAGCCCTGTAGGGCTTTGTCACTTTTAATATTAGTTTTTGCGTCTGGAATTAGGCTACCTGTTAACCCCTTCCGACTTGGCAGATCTCTGGTGGGAGTTCTTTGTATCTCAGCCGTCCAGGCTTTTCAATGGCTGGTTTTAGTGTTTCCTTAAGAACAGCTTCTGTAGAATGGATCCCTCTCCTAGTGGCCACTTCCTTTTTCTTGTCTACCTGTCTCATAAATATTTCATTGTGTTTGTTGATGCTGTTTATGTAGCAGCTTTTCTTTTCTCTTTCTTCTCTTTTTGGCGGTATTGGGATTTAACTCAGGGCCTTGTGTTTGCTAGGCAGGTACTCTACCGCTTAGCCATACCTCCAGCCTGTTTTTGCTTTTGTTGTTTTTCTGGATAGGGTCTCATGGTTTTGCCCAGGCTGATCTTAGTTTTTCCTATCTGTGCTTCTTGTATAGCTGAAATGATAGGCATGCGCCATCCATCAGGCCTGGCTCGTTTGGTTGAAGATGGGTCTTGCTAACTTTTGGCCTGGGCTGATCTTGAACCATGGTCCTCGAGATTCTTTTGATCTTCACCTCCCGAGTAGCTGGAATTATAGGCAAGAGCTATACTTTACCACATAGTGGCTTTTCTGGGTGAATGTTGTGTAGTCTGTATTCCTACTCAAGTTAGTCATGAGGTTCTGCTGTTAGTGTGGTGGTCAGCCTGGGATCAGATGCAGATTTCTCCTTTTCTTGTTTCTTGGGTGCTGAGGATGTTGGAACCTGGGGCCTCAGCATGCTAGGCAAGTGCCGTACTACTGAGTCATAGCCCAGTCCTTAGCACCTCCTTAAACTCTTGGGGCTGGAGAAAAACTCCTAGAGTTACAGAAGAACTCCTCTGCCCTGGCCTTGTCCCATCTGCAGAGCCTGTGGTCAGTTCATAGGAAGGTTTGGGGCTGCCTGGCTCCCCTAGGCCTCATCCTTCTGAGAAGAGGCCTCAGCTGCTCTTCATGGCTTCAGGTAGCAGTGACTAGTGTCTTTGCATTAGGTGACATGACAGCCAGTCCTGAGAGTCATCAGCCATCCCAGCAGTGACTGTGGCTCTCTGTGGTGTGGCTGTGCCAAGTGTGTGGACTGCTGGCCTCGTCTGCTTCAGGACAGAGACTGGAGGGCATGAATGAGAGGACAGTGTGGAGGTGGGCCACGTGGCTTGGTGGCACTGGGGCCTCTTGACTGAGTGCCCTGCCTGTTGTAAGCTTCCTTTTGATTTGCAGAGCTGCCCCTCTGCAGCCTGCTTGCTGCCGATACAGCTCTTTGCTTTGCCTCTCTGCTGTCTCTGACATCCTTTGCTAAACCTGGGATTTATGCAGACAGAAAGCATGGAGCTGCCTCAGTTTCCACAGATGGGAAATAGTTGTGGGAGGACAGTGGATGCAGAAGGGGCATCAGCTACTTGGGTGATGAATGGTCTGCCTGGGTTCTAATGGGCCTGGGTGTTGGCTGTGAGCCCCAGTCTGACACTGTTCTGTTGCCACAGGACTTGGAAGGGAATAAGGGCAACCTCATCTTGCTGGAATAAGCTGTGTGTGAAATCCCCTTGTGGTGGACATGGGCTGGGAGGCAGCAGAGAGGCCAGGCCTGAGAGGTTTGGAGGACAGAGGTGCCAAGAGAGCCACCTGGTCTCTTAGGGCAGGCCAGACTCTGAAGTGCAGAGAGTTTCGCCCTGCTGTTGTTCCCCAGCTCCTGGACCCCACTGAGCCCAGTTGCCCTCTCCTTTCCTAGGCTGTTGTTCTATTCAGGACACTCCTCCTTCGGGATGTACTGCATGATGTTCTTGGTGGTGAGTTTTTCTGCTGACTTGCTTGCTGTGGAGCCCCAGCCAGGTCACGCCCCTTCCCTGAGTCTCAATCTCCCTGGCTGTGCAGTGAGTGTGGTGTGAGAGGAGGTGGTGCTGGGTAGTGCTCACGGCCAGCCTCACTGTGAGTCTTGATTCCCTCCCTAAGTGCACCCTGTCTAGAGGCCTGCAGGACCCTAGCCTACCCTAACCCTAACGCTCCCCCTGCACCCTATGCTGCCTGCTCTGTGTCCCTGAGGACCTACCTCTCCTGTTCCAGGCCCATTTTTCTCAGTGCCCATCTTGGCCCCTACCCTCTGTGTCACAGTCACACCCACCCCGTTCCCATTCTTCCCATTCTGCTCACTGTTCTACCCGCTGATCTTAACCCGCTCCTCTTCCCCAGGTCCGCTATGTCTCAGACTTCTTCAAATCCCGGCCTCCCCAGCCCTGCCAGGGTGATAAGGAGCTGGAGCGCAAGCCCAGCCTGTCATTGACACTGACACTTGGTGAGGCCGAGGCAAACCACTACGGGTATCCAGCCTCCTCCTCTTGACCTAGGATGCCAGCTGGTCCCTGGTTTCTAGTCAGGCAGTGTGGGCTGTGGACAGGCCCCATGGTCCTGGTTGATGCAAGTGACTGCTGGAACCCTGCACTGGACCAGGAATGTGGAGGTTTCTGTCCAGTTCAGAGTGTTTGGTGCGACCTGTCTTATAGCTCCTTCAGTGCCCCTCCTTTCGTGGGGTTTGGGAAAGCTCCCGGAGGGTGGATGGATGTTGCTTCTTTTGCAAGATGTGATGTGTGTATTTATAGGAAGACAGGGCACTACTGATGGTTCCAGAGCTCTGCTTTGCTCTGAGTGTCCCTCATTGCAGAGGGGGCTCCCTGTGGGGCATGTGGTCAACCCACTCCCTAGAGGGCCTTGAACAGAAGGGCCAGCCAGTAATAATGGGCCCTGGGGCTGCCTGCCTGCTGGAAGTTGGCCTTCCCTGGGCTGAGAATGCAGGTGTGAGTGATGGCACCACCACTGTGCTCTGCACAGTTTTGCACTTGGGTCTGCCTTGGAGCCTGTGGTTAGCTAGAAAGACCACACAGGATTTGGGTCTGAACTCCTTCCGATTCCTCTTCTTTATGCTTGCCAACCATCCAGATATCCTTGCCTGAGGCCTCTGAGTGCCTCCTCGCATGATGGGGACCTGCTCTTGGCCCTTCATGTGACAGGGATCTGTCCTCAGGGTTCCTTTTTTTTAGACATCCTTGAAAACATTAGCTGTTTGTATTCTTGATAGCCATTACAATGGGAGTGGTTTGGAATCTTGGTATGGTTTTCATTTTTGTTTTCTTTCTGACGAGCGATGGTGAGCATTTCTTTATGTAGTTGTAGGTCCTTTGGACTTCTGCCTTGGAACAAGCTCTGTTAAGTTCATTCGTGTATTTCTTCATTGGGTCACTGATTTTTACGGGAATTTAGTTTTTGAGTATATTCTCGGTATTAATTTCAGTCAGATGTATACCTGGCAATGATTTCCCCATTCTGGAGCCTTGGTTTCTGCTTCTATTCCTCACCACGTCATCTCAAGGTGTGGTTCTAGTGGACTGGCAAGGGAGGAAAAGGTTCCATGGAGGCACAGCACAGACACCTGTTGATCTGATATAAATTCTTCTCTGGTCTGCAGAGTACATCAAAGCACAGGCAGTGAAGGTTGGAAGGAATTCACCTCATTCACCGGTGTTTCCAGGTGTTCATAAGTATGGGTTCTGCTGAAAGGTACTTTTTTTTGATGAAAGCCCAGAAATTGACTTACCAAAGTAGTTAATATTCATGGGTCACATTCATTGTGTGGGTGTGTTTGTGTGTGGGGCCGCATGTGTGGTTGAAAATAGTTCCTGGATCATTGTCCGTGGATGCTGTGTTCCTAATAATGCCAGTCAGGAATGCTCCTTCGGAAGGCAGTAATTTTGGGTTTTTCTCTCTGTGTTGTTACTCCCTAGGTAAACTGTAATCAATTCACTGAGGAGGAAAGATTCAGGGATCCTTGAATATGTGCAGGGTATGTGAGGCTATCACGATGCATATATGTATGTGCCTCGTTACCCTGCTAGAAGTGATTTGAGTTCAAGTGATGGCTTCAGACACTGACTCTCGATTAGCCTTTAGTTGTTCCTTGGCATAATGTGGTAGTATGTCTTCCTTCCAAGGACAATGTTGGAAACTGATGTCACTTCTTGGGTTTTTCTAAGTTTGATCCTTCCTAAAGTGCTTAAAGTGTCGCCTCAGTAGGGTAACGCCAGGATTTCAGCCTTTGCAGATAACATTCGACTTGCGTTGAATAGAGGCCAGGTTCCTGGGTGTCTGTGTCTACCTTTCTGTGTGCCTTTCTTGTGTGTATGTGTCTGTCTTTGTCTGTGTGCTTAATATTTCTCATTTGTTCATGTATTAATTTCTTTGCTATTTGTCATAAATTCTCATATTACCAATTGTTTCACACTCTTTGAGTGTATCCGCTGCTTAGGCATGCAGAAGTGTCTTTGAATCAAAATCTATCATTAACGTGAGGAAATAGATGGAACGAACAAGGCTGGGTGATGTTCTATGACTTCTGGTCTTGCACAAAGTTGTAATTAACTCCATAGAATGTAAGAAATTCACATACAAGATAAATATTAGTATGTCACTCATTCTCTGTGTGTGATTGTGTGTGGGATGTTTGTTGTTTAGTTTCCCAACACTGGTTGGTAGAATATAGGTTCCTTCCCCAGTCACTTGAGGAACAGCCTTGTGTGGCACTGACTTTATGTCTTGGGTTCCATGAATGAAAGGTGAACTGTGATGTCCCTCAGAGAACCATTGCAGATTTGAATGTCCTTCCTGAGAGTTTCATGTTTATTCCATAGGTTGTGGTGTTCCTGAAATCTGCCATTCTTCCGAGAGGTGGTAAGCATTTCAGTCACTAGAGAACCCTAAGCATTCCTTGGCTATAGCGTGTGTGTGCCTGTGTACTTCTCAGATCAAAGTGAAGTAATTTCTGTGTCGTTAGGAAGTGAATTCTTGTGGTCACCTTGAGGCTCTTGGCAGCCAGTGTGTGCTTTTGCGTGTTTTGTTCAAGTGAGGAACACTGTAGGCTGGAAGGCAGCCCAGGCCCTCACTCTGTGATATTTTGGGTCAGTTAAGGGAATACCCTCCCAGATGATGGGAGATGTAGTTCTGAGAAGGAAGTTGCCTCATCCAAGGTTCAGGGAGTTTTCCTGGCTTATTTACCTTCAAAGGGCTTGAGGTGTTTGTGTACTCACCAGGTGAAAGCCTTCCTGTCCTCCAAAGTGTGGGGTCCAGATTGGGAGTAGTTTGGAAGAAGTCAGAAATGTCATGCCAGTTGAACCTTGAATGATCTGAGGAGGGAACGTGGAGGAGAAAAGCAATTCCCAGATCACAAGTTCTTGCCAGGAAACTGCCACACAAATGGCTGGAGACTGAAGGGAGAGGGCCATAGAGGCAGTGCTTACGTGGTCTGACCAATCAGGACAGACTTGGTTGTGATGTCACAGTGGGATCCCAGCCACTGCAACATACACATTCCCGAGGCAGCTCCTGCCTGGCCTCTTGCTATGGTAGCACAGCCAGCCAAGCATGGAGAAGCTGGAGGTAGGTGCCACTGTCTCGTGTGGAAGACTTCTCTTTTATTTGGGTCCTCGATATACGGGGCACACGTGGCCTGAGCACACGGGTGACCTGAGCATCCTAGGATCGGGTGATACCATTCCTCAGTAGAGATCTTCGTAAACTTTTTTGGTTTTGGTGGAACTGTTGGGACTGGTAATACTGGCGTTGAAACTCAATGCTTTTCACTTGCAAAGCAGTTGCTCTACCCTTTTAGCAACACCTCCTGTCAAAGTTCTATAAATCTTTAGATTAAAGAAGTACAGTGAACCCCGAAAAGAATAAACAGAGCCAAACCATCCAACACCAATCACTATATTGTTTAGGAATGGATCGGTATGTGATAAAAAACCCATAGTAAGTACCTGAAATTTGGGCTGTTTGCCCGTGACGTATACCTGCATTTCTCTCACCTCAGCAGGTAGAAACAGGAGGATCGCAGTTCAAAGCCAGCTCTTGCAAATATTTTCCACAAGCCTCTGTTGAAAATACTCAACGCACAGAAGGTGTGCTGGAGTGGTATGGTTTTTCTTTTTTTAAATATTGTTTATTGAGTACTGTTGTACTGGGTATATGTTGTTACATTTACAAAAGTTTTTTACACTATGTCATAGTTAAAATCATCCCTTCCATCATTTTCCTTTATTATCTCCCTCCCTATTCCTGGAATAGTTTCACAGGTCTCATGTTTCCATTTTCATACATGAGTACACAATATTTCCATCCTATTCACCCTCACAACCATTTACTAATAATCCTCCCTGCTCCCAATGTAACTTACCGCGAGACAAGACCAGGTTTACTTTCTTGTGTTGTGTTTTTTATTAGTTTATATGTTTGTGTTTGGTGGGACTGGGTCTGTTTTCTTCTTTTGAAAAAAAATGATATTTTTTTGTTTAAGATAGGTCTATAGGGAGTTTCACTGTGACATTTCCATGTACATACGTCTTATGATCCTAATTGTTTCATCCCTTCCTGTTGTCCTTTTTACTTTATTCCCCTTCCATTTTTGATGTATAGAAAATACATTCACATTCTTAACTTCGTTCTTTAAATGTTCTCCCTCCCATTAGGGACTCCCGTCAGATTGAGTTGTTTTTCATAGCACTCTTTGTATATTTATTGGGCCTGTATTCTACATCTGAGAGAAAACATGCAGTGTTTGGTTTCAGAACCTGGCTAATTTCACTTAAGATAATCTCCATTTCCATCCATTTCTCTGCAAAGGATAAAATCTCATTCTTTATTGTGGCTGAATCAAATTCCATTGAAAATTCTTGTTTTTCTAATTTACAGATAAAAAGAAAGTTATGCAGTGACACAGATTATCAGGAAATTACCACATGGTTTCTGTTCAACTGGAATTTCAGATTCCACAAACTCAGGTGAGTTAAGGAGCATGTTTGATCAGAGATCTTTCTCTGTGAGATAAACAACTCCCATACCCCCGCTTCTAGCAGTGACTGAGTTGAGGACGAGTTCATGAGCCCTGGGTCCCTTAGCATGTATGTATCATTGAAGCATTTTTTGTCAGCACCCCAGCAAATGCACTGGTAGGATTTTTGCAGAGGCCATAGATGCTTTATTGCAGGGCAGATGTCAAGATGCCCCTGGGCTTTCAGTGTAAGCCCCTGAGTTTATGGAGCCTCTTGGATGCCACCAGTAGTTAGCAGATGGGCCTGTCATCTTCCATGTGTTAGTTACCTATATGTGTGTAACAAATTCCTCCAACTTTTAGCATAGTAAACAAGAAAACATAATTCACTCATTTTCTGTGGGTCAGGCATTTGGGAAGTGCCCAGTTGAGCAAAAGTGACCCAAAATGTTAGTAGAATAGGAGAAGCCAAACTGACCTTATATGTCATTTAGACCAACCTTCTTATTTGATAGGGAAATGTATG